GTTGTTTGTTTGTGTTTTTGTTTTTGTTTGTTTTGGGGGATGGGGGTGGGTAGCTTTTTGGGGAGGCCTGGGGTGGTGGATCGATCAGAATTCGCTTCTACTAAACGCCATTATCTTACTATTGGAGACTGAGTCTATGATGTAGATCTAGTAGTTAGACATTTTCGCCGTCGCACGCAGAAGACCTTAGTTCCATTCCTGTGAAAGGACAATTTTATTGAGTATCTCAATCTTTCTTCTGAGACTGTGTAAACCTTTGGCCCAGGCTTGTCCAAACAGACCACCTCGTAAATAACCAAAAATTGTGTCAATGCGGGTGTTGAAATACCTTATTTTAGAAATACTATGATTCAATTTGTTCCTTGTTTGTTGTTTTTGTTTCTCGAATGTGGTTCCCTTTTTGAGAGAACGACTTATAACATTGGAATCTTGTGGTCAAGATCCAAGCTCTATTTTTGTTTTAAAAGACAGCAAAAGATCTTGCCAGTTTATTAGCGTTTGTACGCTTGATCGACTGCTTGCACTGCATGCTTCCTGTGAAGCCAAAAATGTTTCTGAATGTTCAATGGTCTGCAGCTGAGGTTGTTGCTTTTTTGTGTGTGTGTTTTTTTGGTTGTTTTTTGGGGAGGTGAGTGCTTTACGGCGCTCACAACTGCATAAGGTCATATGAGCGCGCGGGACTTACCAAACATTTTCAGTTTGTAGGAAATTGTGAATTTTGCCGGGGTGGCGGCCGAAGACAACTCTTATCGGTTTTAGACCACCTCCGAGATTTTTCGCCCATGTCCGAGAAGGCTAGGTATAGATCTTTCCTACCAGAAGATCAGGGGTGCGGCTGAAATACAGCAGTAAGAAGGAGCTCAGGAGCAGCAGTAGAAAGGATGTCGGGAGCCCAGAGGATGGGGCAAAGGGGAAAAGAGGATGGAGGCAGAAAGAGAAGACAAAAGCAGACTACAGAACATTGCTAGAGAGCAGGAAAGTAGGTGAAAGGAGACAATTTTAGAGTAGAAAATAATTCTGTCGCTAACCGGATTCGAATCCGGGACCTTTGAATGAGAGGCCAACAAATCAACCTCTAGGCCACGAGAACCCCCAGCTGGGGTAATGATTTAAAGTTTGTAAAGCGCTCAGAACTTGCAGTTGAGCGGGGCTAGACGCTATAGAAATGTCATTTGTTTAGGGACCGTTCATAAATGACGTCAGCTCAGAAGAGAGGGGAGGGGGGTGTCAGTGAAAAGTTGACAAAGTTAACATGACGGGAGGGGGGTGGGGGGGGGGGGGCTCCTTACAAATTTTACGCCAATCATGATGCTGTAGACGGTTGGGGAAAAAGAAAAGAAAAGAAAGGAAGAACAAATATTTTACACTACATTTTCTTGGCCTAAAATTAACCCAGTTAATTATTTTGATTCGTGTTAAAAAATACTTTGACAGTTCCTGTATTTCCTTGTTGTTTAATAAACAATAGTAGTTGTTGGTTTGTTTTTCTTAATTTAAAATAAAGATCAAAGGTGTAAATATGAAATGCATCCTGTACAGGTTCTTTTTAAATGTACATGTACATTTTGGTTGACGTCAACTGGGGGAGGGGGGGGGGGGTTTGTCCAGGTAAATTTGTCCAGGTAAAGCTAAGATAAGATGACAGAAGATGCCAGCAAGGAGGGGGAGGGGTCCTTCTTGGCTCAACTGTTAGCTGACAACAGTTGTGAACGGTCCCTTATTATGTATTATAAGTAGATTACATGAATAATTAGGGTTTTCTTTATTTGTTCTCATAGAGTTACCCTCTTTTACACAGATATTATTAAATCTGCACAGTGGCTTTTACAGCGTTTATGGTGGAAATGTCTAATACTTTTGTTTGTGATTAATACAGGTGCCACTTTGTTGTCGTTGTAATTGTTACTGTTGTTGTTGTTGTTGTTGCTGTGGATGATGATGTAGGTGTTCTTGTTGTGGTTGTTGTTTTTGTTACTGTTATTATTGTTGTTGTTGTTGTTGTAATTGTTGTTGTTGTTGTTTGTTGATATTGTTGTTGTTTTTTGCTCTCGATGTTATTTTGCTGGTACCTTTATATTTATTCACCTACTGAACCGTACACATTTGTCTCGTGCTTTTTACTTTTAACCGATATTGAACATTCGGTCATTTCTTTCA